ACAAAGAATGAATCAATGTGAAATCATCAAGATGTTTGTCATTCAGACAAAATATGCTGACGTTGGAAATTAGGTAAAAAAAAAAAGTCATTAATATTCAACCCAAAATTAAAAGCTCATCAAGTAATGGATGAAAGCAGCCTTACTAGTGAAGCATCAGTTTTTTCTATTCTTTTTACTTTTGTTCTCCCAATATATGGTCCAAGAGCCACTCAAGGTAGAGGTTTATTGAATGAGGTTGCTAAAAATAGGGAGTAAGGAGGAAGCAGGAAGAGCATAGAATAAGATTGATACCATGTTGAAAATAATATAATTTAAATATATACATTGCAGCACAAAATCCATTATTAACCAAAGAAACATAATTGATTTTTTTTAATCATTTCACCCGAAGCAAGTCAATAAAGCCGATAGGGTTACTGAGTGCGAAAGAATAGAAGAATAAAAGAATCAAGAAGACAGTAGATTATGATTGACATTGCATTTAAATCTTTGAAAATCAAAGTTGTCTGGAAAGAATGAAGCTGGAAGAGTATTCCTTAATCAAGAAGTGCAAGAGAAGAAACTGTTAGCATAGAACTTATGGTTCCATCTAGACATCTCGACTATAAAATAATGAGACCTTGTTGCCAATTTTTTACAACATATAAATTCATAAAGTCTAGGTACCATTTTATCTGAGCAATTACCATGAAAGTATTTATAGAAAAGGCTCAGGGAAGCTACATTATGGTAGTGGGAAAGTGACTGAAGCTGAGATGCCAGATCAGGAACAATAACATTGCAAATTTTTCTCTGGGTTTTATCAAAAATCATAATTACAGCTTGAGCTTTGACTGTGCCATGTGTCCTCAATGCTTGATGGATGTCAGTTATCAGTTATCTCCTGTTAATTTCCCTTTGAAAGTTCTCCACTGCCTTAACCGGGTATTGAACTCACATTCTTTGTCCACAAGGACACATGGCACGGTGGATAAAGGCGTTGGTTAGATCCAGTGACAGACCCAAAGAAGGTGAGTTCAATACCTGGTTAAGGCAGTGGAGAACTTTCAGAGGGAAAATTAGCAGAAGATAACTGATAACTGACATCCATCAAACATGGCACGTGGAACTAGAACAGTCTACCCCAATGATCGAAATAAAGGGTTCAGTTTGAAATTCCAACCACCTGAAGAAGGCCGGAGCGTACAACGGCCGAAACGTTGTGACAAATATGGCGACAAAGATGAGGACAATAGTCCGACTAATGTAAATACTGTACAGCTTATCAACCTTTTGTAGGTTATTTAATGCTGGAACATGTTTTTGGATTGTAAGAATTTTTTGAGATAATATCTTTTTATACAAGTCCTACTATTTAACCCATAGCTGAGGAGAAAAGAAGTGGATTCATACCTTTCCCAAGTGTATATGTGCATAAGTGAATATAGTAAACATGACTGGAATTGGAACTTGGTTCTCAGATTTCTCATTCTGATCTTTATACCACCCGCACATCCAAGCTTACAGTACCTGATATTCACAAGCAGTTACCCATCTAGGTTCTGATCAGGCTCAATATTGCTTAACATTGGTGATTCTATAAGAAACAATATTTGAATGTGATATGACTATAAGGCCCAAAGAACCACTGAACAAGATGAGAAATCTAGACAAAAGAACATACTGAAAAATAGACTTTTTTTAATCATTTCACCCAAGCAAGACAATAAAGCCACTAAGATGCAAGGGGTTATGGAGTGTGAAAGGATAAAAAATATAGAAAAACATTATCAAGGAATGAGAAAAATAAAAAAAATAGTATATAACAATTGACATTGCATTTACATTTTTGAAGATCAAAGTTGGCTGGAAAAGTAAGAAGCCAGAAGAGAGTTCCACAGGTGAGAAGTGCCAGAAAAGAAACTGTTAGCAAAGAACTTATGGTTACATCTAGCCACTTCAACTGTAAAATGATGAGACCCTGCTGCCAATCTAGAACTGTGCTTAAATTCATAAAGTCTAGGTACCATAGTGAAGAGTTCATCCAAACAATTACTATGAAAGTATTTCTAGAAAAGGCAGAGGGAAGTTATGTTATGGTGGTGGAAAAATGATTGATAGCCTGGCTGAAGACCAATTGGTACAGGAAGCAATCTAAAATATACAATGAGGACTAAAATTTGGTCCTGGGAGTCAGTGGCTGAAGGCTTTATTAAATGCAGCAATGCAAGATGTTAATAAAAATCAATATAATATAGAACAGTAAAAAGTAGACTTTTTTGAATCATTTCACCTCAAGCAAGGCAACAAAGCCACTAAGACACAAGGGGCTACTGAGAGTGAATGAATATGAGAGAGAACAATAAAAGAACATGAATGGTAGACTTATAAATGTCTAAGATAGATTCTGGTAAGAAAAATTGTCTAGCATAACACAGTGAACCATCTAGCAATTGATTCTATATAATCTTTCCACTTCAGCCTGAGCTGGTACAATGAGTCACTCACCTGAAGGTTAGCATCAGCCATACTTTGTAGGACAAAAATGGTTTTCTAGGATGATTAAAAAGGAGCAGTTTCATTTTGGAGGTGTTAAAATTAGCAAGCTATTCCTTGCCTGAGTTAACAGAAATTATTTCTTTTCTTTGAAAATTGCTTGCAACTGAGTTTAACCTAAATCATAACTTGATTCCATTGAATGTGATTATAATAAACAGTACTTATTATTTACATGTGGACTATTATCCTATTCTTTGTTGTTGTTATCACCCATTATTTAATCTACAGGGACAGATTGTTCTCATTCTGCTGCCTATATCTAGGGATATCTCAACTAGTTATTTAGTACTGTACAGTTATTGCTTACCAATTTTCTAATGAGTCCAAGTACACACTGCCCAACCCAGGGATTCAGGAACCAATGCTTTATTCCACTTGTTTATTGTCTCTTACTGAAGATGGCACAACAGCAGAAACAATGTAAATAATGATCACTCCTCCCCATACTAGAAATTCTGACAGATATAAACAGTGAATCTGCCTTATATATACACAGACCCATGTGTGTTTATTTGCATATCTTAGCATGTGTGTCAGCATGTGCATCTCCAAAATGATCTGAGTTTTAAAAAAGAATGGCACTGTAAGGTCAGTAATTGCTTAACCTAGTCATATATACAGTGCTGTTCAATAAAAGTGACTCACCTGATTTTTTTACTTAAAAATTTTTTTGCCTATTGTTTTTGGGGTCAAACTAATTTTTAATATTACTAATATAAAGACCCCTTCTCGACCACCTAGTAAAAAATTTTATTCAACCTAAGGTATTCTATTGATAATTATAATTTTGGATATAAATGAGATTTAGGGAAAAACTCTATGCAAAAAAAGTGACTCACTTTTTTCCAGTAACTAGTAATCAATAGAAACATAACCGAACAGCTTTAAATAAAGAATAATAGAGGGATAATTTATTTATAATATGTAATATAGTTCGAAATATTTAATAATCTATGAGTCCTCCTTTATTTTGAATAATCTTTTCAACCCTTTTTAGCATTGACTTGATTAGGTTCTGGCAAATCTCATCTCCAAGCATTAAATTCCATTCGGATATGAAATTCACAATCAAATCCTCTTTGTTGCTCAACTGCTTTCTCGAGAGCCTGTACTTTATAATGCTCCATAAGTTTTCTATGGGGTTGAGGTCAGGAGATAGGAGCGGCCATGTCATAACACTCACCTGCTTCTCATCAAAGTATTCCTTCATCAATTTTGATTTGTGACAGGGAGCATTATCCTGCATAAAAATGAGCTTGGTGGGGTCGATTTGCACCCTTTCAGCAGAAGGGAGCAGACAAGACTCTAAAATTCTCTTATACTGCTCACTCCTGAGGGTCTTTTCAATAGGTTTTAAGAAACCAGTTCCATGAAAAGAAAAGCATCCCCAGAACATTATACTGAACGGATGATTGACAGTACTTACTGCTAAATTCAAAGAGCTTTCAAAGCTTCTTCAGATTTTAGATCGCTTATCATTTGAATTTAGCTCAACTTTCGTTTCATCGGAGAAGAGAACATTTAGTAAAAAAAATCAGGTGAGTCACTTTTATCGAACAGCACTGTATATATATATATATATATATATATATATATATATATATATATATATATATATATATATGTATGTATGTATGTATGGGTGGGGGTCACAATTTACAGTTGAGTTGGTTAGATATAACTGTAAGCTCTATGCTAACAGTTTCTTTTGTTACACTTCTTGCTTGTGGCGTTCCCTTCCAGATCTATGCTTCCGAGCCAATTTTAATCTTCAAAAATTTAAATTCAATATCAATTGCTATCTACTGCTCTCCTGATTAATGTTTTTGGTATTGCTCAATGTTTCTGTTTCTAATTCTTTCACACCCAGTAATTCCTTGTGTCTTAACGGCTTTACTGCCTTGTTTGGGGGCGAACTTGATTTAAAAACAAAATTGTAACAAAAATCAAAACTTTCTCTCTCTTTGTTTTTTAGCAGCTGAAGGAGGCAGACATCCTGGATAGTTCTCTGACAAAACATGTTGCCACTAATAGATAAGCAAAACTTTTTTATTTTTGGATGCATATAGGTTCTCTAAAATATACAATCATTTCTTTGAAATGTATATGAAAGCATTTTTATCATTTTTGTTTATGGTTATTTCATTGTATCTCGTATATCATTTTGTAATTTTATAATTATGGGCGTGCTCTTTTAACCCAAAGAATAGATATAGAAAAGTATTACATTCAGAAAAAGTCATCTAATCATCAGAATACCCACAATACAATTGACCAAAAGAGGAACTGAAAATATTCTTGTTTACATATTCTGTGGGCCATTCTTGAAAAGTTTAAATAAAATATAATTTCCTGTGCTTTTATCTTAGCAGAAGAGGGGGATCCTTGGGGGGTGGGGGGATTGTAGGTGATAGCGGCGGTGGTAAAAGAGGATTGAAAGAAAAAGGAAATAGTGCAAATCACATGCAAAAGAAGAAATAACGAACTAAGATTATGCAAGAAGGAAGGAAAAAATAAATGTGTCTAGGAAGGAAAAAGGTAAAAGTGTCAAATAGCAATAAAAAAAAAAAGTGAAGAAAGAAAAGCAGAGTATTAGAAAGGTGGGCACAAAAATGGAAATGAATAAGAAAAAAAGAGACAATGAGTAAGGAGAAAAATCCAGAAAAAGAAAAACAGAGAAGAAAGATAGAAACGAGAAGGTAAAAGTAAAATTGGATAAAAATGAAGAGAGAGAAAGCAAGACAAAAGAAGAATGAAAGAGATTGCAGGAGAAGAAGGCAGAGAGCACAAAAGAAGATTGAGGAGTGTGAAAAAGGAGGAGGAAAGCAAAGAAGAAGGTGAAGGAGAAGAAGTACTAAAGAAGGAAGGATAAGAGGGGAAAAGAAAAGCTAAAGAAAAGGAAAGAAAGAGAAAGAAAGAAAAAGAATATAGTAATAGTCAAAAGAAGGAACAGAAAAAGAAGGTAAAAGAGAAAACTATAAAAAAGAGAGAAAAAAATTAGAGAAAAGAAAGATGAGGAAGTGAATGAAAAGGAGAAACAGTAAAACAAAAAAAGAAAAGAAAGTCTAAACAGGAAATGAGAAAAGGTATAAAAAGTTCAAGTTCAAAATAACAAAGGAAAAAATAAAATGAAAATGGAAGACAATGAAAAAATTTAATGAAAGTTGATTGGTTGTTCATTCATTGTTCTTCTTCATTGATTGGTCAATTCAACAATCTAATAATTTTGTAGAAGAAGTGCAATCATGGCTAGTGTAGCAAGCCTGAAAAATAAATTCCTCATCCAATGTTTCCCCATGACCATTCCTTATTGAAAAATCAATAGCCACTTCCAGTAGGATTTGAGACAGTTGCTAAACATGGCCATAATTGAGCAGAGAGTTGGAATCATGTTTTTGCATGTTTTTTTTTTATTTTTTTTGTTTCAACTATTTCAAAAAATATAAAGGAAATAATAAAAGAACAGACTAGCAAGGTTACCAAGTGTTACCTTGTTTCAGTGATGAAACTGTAAAACCATATTAACTGCTTTTTATCATTTTTGTTTTAACAGATCCATTTTTAAGGAGGTTTTTCATGTATTATCAGTTATACATTGATAAGATTATCATATTTAATGACACATAAAATCCCCAATTTTCATAAAAATGGTTAAATATATCTTCTTGGCCTTACCTGTGAAGTTGAACCAAGAGCCTACCAATGTTTGTACCTGGCCTAAAACCATAATATGGTAATATTTAATGTAAATAGTGGCGGTTTATAAGGAAAGGTGATGTATCTGGTAGGCTAATGTTTACCCAGATACCATAGACTACCACTAATTGTAGTTAAGCTAACTATATAATACTACAATATTTATAAAAATAAAGCATGTCAAATGTAACAAGATAACCTGCCACACACACACAAATGCACATACACACACCAGGGAGCAATGAAATGTGCTCAGTTCAACCCACTTCCTAAAATCTAATTAAATGACCAAAATCACAATCTAGATCACAACTTCGTTTTTTGGTTGTGGCGGGGGGGATCTGAGTCCATTTTCAGCACAGAAAATGAAATCTAATGCAAAATTTAAGCTCTTTTGAGAATTTTGCCTCTTTTTATCTCCTATCTTACAAATTTGAATAGTGCTACCAAAAAATGCTTGAGACAAAATTTTTTTCTGTTTTTATGTAAGTTTCCAAATATTAAGACAATTTAAATCTGCAAAATTGTAAGAAAATTGTTCACAAGAAAATATTTAGAATGTAACCAATTCTTTTCATATGTTAAATTGATCATTAACCACTTTTGGCACCAAATGTAGGTTTTCCGACATAACTTCCCTTGTATTTATCAGAAAATCATGATTGAGAATTATATTCTAATGTTTTGGGGAATGCAGATCCTATTTATGGTATTACCCTCTCCCAAGAATTTTAAATGGGTTAAATGCAAAATTTAAGCTCTTTTTGAGAATTTTGCCTCTTAACTGCAAACCATAGGTTCTAGACCTAAACACTTATTTTAAAATCCAAAATGTGAAAGTTTTGTTTTAATCTTCCTCTTTAATATAAATGATATTAATAGAGTTCTATAATTGAACTGAAGAATCATTTAGGGAACTAAAAACCACAAATCTTCACTTGGCTCTATTATGCAAGTCCAATATCTTTTTCTATTATTTTTAATCATTTTACCCCAAGCATGACAATAAAGCCATTAGAAATACAAGGTATTGCTGAGTGTTAGAAAATATGAGGGAAACTATTATTAACAAAAGAGGACAATAAAAGAACAAGAATTAAGAAGACAGAAGATAACGATTGACATTGCATTTAAATTTTTGAAGATCAAACTTGACCGGAAAGCAAGAAACTGAAAGAGAGTTCCACAAGCGAGAAGTGTCAGGGAAGAAACTTTCCATAGAACGATTATATCTAGCCATTTCAATTCTAAAAGGATGAGACCTTGTCGCTAATTTAATACTGCGCTTAAATTCATAAAGTCTAGGTACTATAGCACGTGACTATTATTACAAATAACTACAGTAATATAGAAAAGAAGTTATAATATAACTATTAGTGTACATTATTTACATTATTCGGACTATTGTCCTCATCTTTGTCACCATATTTATTACAACGTTTCGGCCGTTGTATGCTCCGGCCTTCTTCAGGTGGTTGGAATGTCGAACTGAACCCTTTATTTCACTCACTGGGGTAAACTGTTCTAGTTCCATGTACCATGTTTGATGGATGTCAGTTATCAGTTATCTCCTGTTAATTTCCCTTTGAAAGTTCTCCACTGCCTTAACCGGGTATTGAACTCACATTCTTTGTCCACAAGGACACATGGCACAGTGGATAAAGGCGTTGGTTAGATCCAGTGACAGGACCCAAATAACTGATAACTGACATCCATCAAACATGGCACCTGGAACTAGAACAGTCTACCCTAGTGAGCGAAATAAAGGGTTCAGTTCAGCATTCCAACCACCTGAAGAAGGCCAGAGCGTACAACGGCCGAAACGTTGTAATAAATATGGCGACAAAGATGAGGACAATAGTCCGAATAATGTAAATAATGTACATAATACCTCATCTCAGAAATATAGACAGACTCAGAAATATAGACAAACTATTAGTGTAATAAACAATTTGACCAATCTATGATGGGAAGATCTCATATATATTTGAAAATTTGCCAAACTTAACTTATTTCTGCTACAAAGCCATAAGTACAGGGTCCCCAGTGAGGATTAAATCAACTTGTTTCTTATATTAGTGTTGTTATACTTTTTGCCCTTTTTCAAGTGTTTGTCTTATTTGTTAATCTCCTCAGAATTTCTCACTGAACTATTTATTTAATCTGTTAATACTAGGGAATAATCTCATATTAATTCATTTTAGTTAATCCCTGTGATACTGCTTTTGCACATTCTATGTGAGCTGGGCACTAAATAACTGTTGTCAACATAAATTTGCTTGTATTTATCAGAAAACCAATCTTCCTGTTTTTGTATTTTTTTGGCAGAAGTACACTTTTAACACCTGCAAAACTCCCAGAATGAAGTCTGGTTATAAACAAAATTTGAGCTCTTTTTAAGGATTTTGACACTTCACTGCAGGCTACAGTTTCTAAACCTAAACCCCTATTTTTTTAATTAGACATGTGAAAATTTTGTTTTAATCTTCCTTTTAAGTACAAATAAAATTAATACATTTACATTATTTATATCATATGAACTGTTGTTCCCATCTGCTATATTCACAATGTTTTGGCTGTTGTATGCTTTAGCCTACTTCAGGTGATATTTGAAATTTGAACTGAACATTTTATTTAATCCAGGGGGTAGATTGTTCTAATTCCATGCACCATTCAGTTTTAGTAAATTCCTCTTGATAATTCAACTCTCCAGATTTATGCTTTCTCTGAAATTGAACTCACAACTCATTGAGTCAGATCACTTTTTGGATCAATTAACCAACCAATGCTTTTATCCACTAGGCTAAATATGACCTAAATAAAGTATCACTGCTGACACTTGAGTTTGAATATAGATTGCCAGTGAGCAAACACAAGCAATCCCATTATCGAATTAAGTGGATCACATGACCATAGAGGAAATGCATATATAGGAAGTTGTGTGACATGTAAATGATCTCCATTTCTATTCTATCCTCTATACTATATAGATCCCCATTTCTAGTCTATCCTCTATTACTATCCAGACCAATATTCTCTACTCTATTTCTCTATACTGATCACTATATGAGTTACTTGTTGAGTAAATATTATCAAGCAAATACTATACTGATAACTGACATCCATCAAAAATTGGCACGTGGAACTAGAACAGTCTACCCCAGTGAGCAAAATAAAGGGCTCAGTTCGACTTTCCAACCACCTGAAGAAGGCCGGAGTGTACAACGGCCGAAACGTTGTGATAAATATGGTGACAAAGATGAGGACAATAGTCCGAATAATGTAAATAATGTACATAATACCTTATCTCAAAAATATAGACAGAAATACTTTTAGTGCAACATTATTTGTAGTCATCTGATACAAGCATTGTTTAATGGCATACTATAGTTGTATCTGCAATTACAAAGTCTCTACTACAACAAGCATTATGAAAGTGACAACGAGTATTTGTTGGCATTACAAAAGTGGCAACAAATGTTTGTTGACATCACAAAAGAAGGTTGGAGCATACAACAACCAAAATGTCATGAATATGGCAATAAAGATGAGGACAACATTCTGAACAAAATAAATAGTGTGAATAGTTACAATACCACACCTCAGAAATATAAACAGATCATGAGGAAGATCAGAGCGTACAGTGGCCAAAATGTTGTAAATATGGCAATAATGATGAGGACAATAGTTCAAACAATGTAAATAATATAAATACCACACCTCAGAAATATAGACAAAATTAAATTGCATAACTGAGCTGTAAATCATTCAGGAGGCTCAAAAAATATAAAAGTCCCCTTAGGCCCATTCTGTGACCCCAATGTGGACAACACACAATTATCCTCAGTCAGTAATTACAGGGAAGTAGTTTTTAAGCAAGAAACACATTACAGCATTTTGCTATCCTCCCTATTCTGATCTAGAACCAGACAATGTTTTCTTTTTCTTTGAATTAAACCCTGAATTCAACATCTTCAGAGTTTCCTGTCCATGCATAATTATAACCAACACTTGCATTTGTATATCTCCCTTCCTACACATTCCATCAACAAAAACATTACTTTAGTCTAATGAAGGCCTTCAAGAGGACAAAACACATTACACAGAATTATTTCCACCTTGACATTCATTTGCCCCAGACACACACACATGTGCGCATTTTTACAGCCAAAAAGCAGAAATTACCACAACA